TAAATAATGGACTAACAATTAGTATGAAAAATGTCAGTGCACATTTTGCTGTAGCAAAAATGTTATTGTACTCATTGGATGAAGCAAATATGTCTTTATGCACGTGAAATATAGCAAAGACCCCATTGTACTCATGGGATGTACATGTGGAAGAGATGCCAGTGGAGTCGCGGAATAGAGTAAATATATCACTTTATGTAGACTTTCATAAATATTTTCTATGAGGGTTCCTTTTTTTTTTTTTTTTACACATCCTCTATGTTCACATATTCAGTCATATATTCTCAAATAATAACCCATGATAGCCTGATTCCACCTTTTATATAATCATTTTATTCTCAAAATATCAAAAGTAATGGCTAATCCTTTTTTGTTTACTGAAACATTTGATAAACAACTGAATTTGAGAATTTTTTTAATTTAACTTGGGAGCATTGATTTCTCAGACTTACGTTTTACGGCGGCGACTCCAAGAATATACCATCTCAGTGCACTTGACATCGAATTCCCCGATTTCCTCTTCATTTATGGTAGCTCAGTCGTAGAGCGTTCTATCCGTGATAGGAAGGATGGGAGTTCATATCTCGGCCGCGACTGCCCTAAATCGATAAAAAGAGGTACATGTAGCATCTGCTCTTCGCCATACGCTCTGTAATTTGCAGTGAGAAATGTGGGTCCTTCGGACAAGACCTTAAACATCGAGGCCACACGCTACGGCAGATGTTGGCACAATGAAGATCCCTCTCTGCTCAATGACCATGAGTGCGAGTAATGGTCAAAATATGAAGCCCTTCACTGGTAAATTATGATGTCTCTATTTACATGAAAAATTCTCGAATGAAACACGCAATCAATGACCTAACAATCAGTATGTACAACTGTACTAGTATAAAGCCAGTCATCATTTGACTTAATGATAAATTGCAATTGCTGACAAGGTAATTGCACTGACCACAGAAATTACAAAATGATGACTTAAAAGACTGCTGATATTCTTGCATTATCAATTTGTTTGTCAATAACTTGCCTCGTTTAAGAAATTGGTCACACATAGAGCATGTTCTTTCTTATTGAATCAACCAAGACATATAATCCACGTGCAGGAGACAAAGGTTTATCGCTGTATTAGTAAATGAAGTTGACGATTGAATAGTTAACCACATTTATCATAAAGCTTTGTTATTAGATAACCAATAACGTCTTTTCAAGAACAATATCCAAATAGGATATAGAATATGATAATATATACAATAATATGTAAAATATTAATAAAATACAATTCATAACACTCATTGATTATATATTTTCTTTCTCAAAATATTCCAATTTCCCTGTGTCGAAATCTTTATTTAGGTTGGGGTAAATCTTGGATCAACTTGTAAATCGACGCTGTTTCTGCCTTTTTATGCCTTTCTCTAACTTTAACGTATGATAACTCTGTCTCACTAATCTCGATTGAACATTTACTAATCTGGTTTGCACATTTCTGTAATTCTAATAAGTTAATCATGAATTAACTTTATGTTATTTATACTCACAATAGTATTTTATCTTCATAACCAAGGATATGAAAACATCTTGCATGACCTATAGCGTCTGTCAAAAGGAGAACGAATATATATGGTAAATATTTTGTAAGAGCCCCTTTGTTTGGATAATTAACCGAAATTCAGAAAAAATGATAGAATGCGAGGGACGAATTGCTCTCTATCATGTTATAAGACGAGCCAAGTAATTAACTTCATCATGTGTTAATGAATGTAAGTAACGAGTTTGATTTAGAATATCAGATGCCTCTCCTATGTTATACAACATCATGCGCAGCTAGTTTATCATTTATCATTCACCAATCAAATCATCCATTGTTTATATAATCGTAGTATTTAAATGGTATCCAAATTATTTCTGTCATTCTTTTATTCTGTATGCAAAAGGGTAAGTTCAAATCCAAATATTGTTGATGTCTTTATTACGAAACTATCTATGTTTACAAAGTGTGTTAAATTTGTTCATAATACTGTCTCTAGCGTGAAAATTGCTTTATGCTATTTAAATGAAAACTTTTTCTATGTAGCATATTTAGTATATTTTGCAATATTTCAAAAATATCTTCACAAATGTTTTAAATTTGATATTCTATAGAAACCTTCTTGGAAAAAATCGTATCGATAAAAACAATTTATAAAAATATGCCTGAATAACATTTGACTTAAACTTAAAAGTTTTTCAAACATTTTTTTTTTCTCGTACGATTCTTCTGCTTTCTAAACAACAATTATCACGTGACTTTGAGAAACCACGCTGATTGGTTGTTGATTTACACAATAAATTAGATACTTATTATTTCACTACATCACAAAAATGATAGTATTAATCGTAAATAAAAGTACTGGATTCAATTTATTAGAGCGGGTAGGAAAACTTATAAAAGGACATTTCATGAATGCACTAGTATGTGCATTCTGAAGTGATTGGGGGGAGGGACCCTTATTAACTGAATGTTTTCAAAACGTTGTGTACCACCTTGTTTCTGTCCTAATTGTTATTAGTGACTTATTAATGACTTAATCGTAATGATAAGGAGACGAATTAAACAAAATTGGAGTACACTCGTCTAAAAATAAATATTTCAAAACAGCTTTCTATTAAGTGCAGGAAGAACATGTATGATCGTTTTGAAGTTCAGTAAATATCTTAATTTTAGTTTTATTATTATTTTTCTCAGACAATAGGAAAAGAATAAGTATGACGAGTAATTCAATTCACCCAGAGTCTGTTGTGACAAAATTTTATCGATGTGACGAAACCAAATCTTTGGATTCAAGTATATCTCAGCAATCAATTCGTAGCATTCATGAAGTTCTTTTCCAGAAAAGAAGCAGTTATTCCTCTTCCAGAGGAATTGCCAATCACTGGAAAATGATAATGATTATTTTGATACCTGTATTATCTCTTATGTCCCTAGCCACAAACAGTCTCTTAGAAGCGGCAAAAGTTAAAAGGGCCTCACTGGAGTCCATTCACGATGTCAAAGTTGCTCATTTGTATGCAAACTTGATCCAAATGTTACAAAGAGAAAGGGGAATCTCCTCGAACTTTTTAAGCACTTATGGAGATAAGAACCCCTTGTATGATACGATGATGACAGCAAGGAAGAACACAGATCAAGCCTTTAACAAAATACCTCCGAATCATGATGCAATTTACATGAATGGGATCCTCCACACCATTTTAGAAGTACATGAAAATATTAATTTATCCCGAAGGAAAATTGAAAATGGGTCAGATTCTCTTGAAGATCATCTCAATTTCTACACCGAGATTAACAATGGATTAATGAGCGTCATGTTTGATGATATTTACCTTTCAGAGGAGAAGAACTGTGTTTTGGACATTGTGGCATTTACATCACTTGTAAGATGGACAGATATTATTGGCCTTTTGCGTGCTAGAATAGCATCCCAATACGCAACATGTGATTTCACTTCAGAATCATTGCAGAATTACATGCTGCTGAGTGGCGAAGCAATGGGTTATAAAAATATTTTTACGCATTACAGTCTAGAAATTGAAACTGCATTCTCAATGGAAAATCAAAGCACAGAAAAATATCTCGAGAATGTCAGGAGATTTGCTTGGTCTAAATCATTTCTGAACTCGTGTAAAACAAAATCGAAGGCAGAACGCTTATCATTAAGTGTAATATATTTTCAAAACATGACAAAATTGATCGATTTCGCTTTTGAGACCCAGCAATTGCAGTCCAAGGTCTTGACAAGAAAACTCTTTGAAATAAGAAAAGATGCCGAGTTCCATTTCAACGTCTATCTCACTGTCCTGGTCATTATAACCTTCGTTAGCATCATTTTAACAGTATGGTATATACTATGTATCGAGAACATGACGTTTAAGATTGCCAATAATGCTATTATAATTAGGGCTAAGTCACAAGAGTTGGCTGAAGAAAAAATGGTAACAGAAAAACTCCAATATCAAATGTTACCAACAAAAATTGCCACAGCCTTAAAAGAAGCACGGACTATCATATCTGAAAACTTTGAAGACGTGACCATTTTCATCAGCGACATAGTGAATTTTACAGAGCTTGGAACTAGAAGTTCAGCTAGAGAGATATTTGATCTACTTAACAATTTATACGGGTAAGTCTATGTACGATTGGTCAAAATTCTAGTGGACATGCTGTCTTTCTCTGTTAAGACATTCGAAGACGTTAACTTACATTAACTGATAAAATATCTACATAACGCATATGCTTTATTGATACAGTAACTGTCACTTACTGGGGCACATTTCTAACTTTACAACATATACATGCATTGTTTAAATTTATCTACTATTTATTTACACATGTATACATACTCTAGGTTTACTTTTGTTACTTAATTTGATGTAAATCTTAATCTTTTTATTTTCTAACTAAGGTTATTTGACAACATGACTAAGACATACGAAGTTCTAAAAATAGAAACCATGGGAGACTCTTACATGGTAGCGAGTGGAGTACCTGATCGAATTGGCAAAGCGCATGCGTCCAAAATTTGCTCTTTTGCACTTGCCATTCACAACGTTATGAAAGGATTCTGTGTTCCGAAAACATTTAAAAGTCGTGAATCAATTCAAATTCGCGTTGGAATTCATTCAGGTATGATATTCATTGTTAAATATAATTTGTTAGCTCACTCTCTTTTTCTATAAGTACGAAAACAGTCTTGAACTTTCTTTTTGCGACCAATCGACACGGATGCTTTCTCCTAATAAAAGCTGACCCCACTCTGTAACACCGGAGGTCCATGTTTTATGCCCTGCTCACAGAATTGTACCTTTGTACCCGCTATATTTTCTTGCTATTGGATGTCTTCAAAAATTTTCTATTGATTGTTTTCGATTCAAAAAATAAAAGCAAATATATATATATATATAAACAAACAAACAAAAAAAAAAAAAAAAAAAAAAAAAAAAAAAAAAAAAAAAGAAAAACCAAAAACCAAACTTTCCGTAATTGTTCTAGATTTTAAAGTTCTTTCTAATGCTTGTATAGACAAATATCTGGACGCTCAGCAGTAACCTCTGACAAAATAAACTTAATTTTAATTTTTTTTTTCGAAACATACATAAATATGTATACATGTATATGCATAAAATTTTATTTTCTCACAGGTCCCTGTATAGGCGGAGTGCTAGGCCTGAAAGTGCCCAGATATTGTTTGTTTGGACAAACAGTAAACACAGCAATAACACTTAAATCTAAAGGAAGAGGTTTGTGACAACGTGTCATCACATTTGTAATTTTTTTCAATTTTTATTATGTTGAAAAAAGAAACTCGGGTTCAGTTTAGATCAGTTTTTCTTTATGAAAATGGCAAGTTGGTCGGAGTGAATACTCAATGCACACTGTCAATTACACTCAGTTGTTCTATGTTTTTTCTTCATTATTTATTCGCAGGAGGAAAAATCCATTTAAGCGACAGTACGTACCAATTTATTAAAGATTCCGGATATTTTACTGTTTTTGAAAGAGGGTTCGCAACAACCAAGGTAAAGATAAAAATTTCTTTAAAGTTTCATTGGAATATACTTAGTATGGATACATTTTTATACGTAAACATCTTCCTGTCATATTCCAATGAAATATGCTGTTTCTAAAGTAAAAAGTGAAGAATTAAGTTTGAAAACGTAAATGTGTTTAAAAATTGAGAATCAAATATTGTATATTAAAATCAAGGAGGGAGCCTTTTATAGTATACATGTATAGTCATGTATTTGCTTATATGTATTACATATCAAGATGTAAGAAATTTAAAAATTCATATTTGTCTTTTCTTATTGTTATAATTGTACAATTCTGAGAAGAAATTGAAAAAAAATTGAAATCAAACAGGTTCCATATTCTACGGAAATGTGAAAATATACCCTCTTAGAATTATATTACATAGCAATGAATTTATTTTTTTAAACAATCAAAGACTTAAAGGAAATGTCCAAAGTGACTGATATTAATCATTTCTGGAATAATTTCAAAATATATCAACAAATAAGATTTCCCTTTAAAATTCAAATTTATTAGCTTTTGAAACTTTTCAATCCTTTCTCTCTTACTAATCAGCGAAACTCTTCGACTTTGTATCAGTTTATACATTTCAATGACTACTTCACGAGATGTGAAATAAGAAAAAAAAAATATTATTGAAAATAAAATAGGCAAAATCATATTTAAATAGATATTTATTTCAGGGAAATGGAACTATCAAGACTTACTGGCTGGAATCAGCATCAGAGATGTGAAGGGCTGTACATATTATGAATACTGGATCAATTGTTATCCTTCCTTTCTTCTTTTTTAATTTTCATATATATCTGCAAGTGTAAATATATTTTTCATTAACTTGTTATAGTTAAATGACAACTCCATGTAGTGTTAATAATAAGACCTGGTACTGTTTGTGCATGCCAATTTGTTATACTCGAAGTATACTGATTCGATCTCCTCGTATCGGACTCTCACAACGACAAAACATTTATATCTTATATATAGACAAACCTTGGTTTGATGATGTAGAATCATGGGTCAAAATACATCATCAAAACAACTTGACGTATGATAAAAAAAAAATAACTGTACACAATGGGACCAGGTCAGACCAAATAATTAGATACATGCATGGCAACTTCAAAGGTATAATCTGAAAGCTGCATGGATTCCAAAAAAAAAAAAATAAATAAATAAAAACAAAAATAAATGAAATATTTAGAAATGTATCAACCGTTCAAAGCAGTCGATATACATGTGCTTCATAAATGTGTTGTGTGTGTGTGTTTTATATATGAATAAATTGCTTACAAAATGTTAAGGTAATTCATTAAAAAAGAATGAGAAAAATCTCTGCCACATGCAAGCTATATAAAGCCTATTGCTACCTTTTCCATGAATGAATATAATAAAACTAGTCGACCTGAATCAATATAAATTTTCATTTCATTTTAACTTATGCAGTATACTATTAACTAATTTACTTTAAACCTGCATGCGTAATTTTTTTTTCATATTTCCGAAGTTTCTGCATTTTATCAAATGTATGTTAGCGCAACGTTCTTTGTGTGTATTTATATACAGGCGATTTACTTCACTTTAATTTATACACCTTTACGCGTTACATTTTTGACTGACAAAATTATCTACTATATTTACATCCACTGAGTATTTTCTCCTTTATTTCTTAAGAAAACTCATTGCGTTAATCATTGCATGAACTACACTAGGCATATTACCTGTACAGATTTCAGTGGCTGTTACATCAATAAAACCTACGCATCATTTACAATAATAAATCTTTTTAATCCTACTTTATATGATTATTCAAACAGACATAAATATAAACAATAAAATGTCTTTCTTTGCTTGTTAGTACGGGATGAATATCGCAGCTATTGCAGAAAAAAATTATATAACCCACTTACGCTGGTTATGTATTTCTTCTGCAACAGCTGCGACATTCTTTCCCATACTAACAACCAAAGAAAGCAATTTATTGTTTAAATATTTCGAAAGAAGCATTACTAACTACATTTTTAAAGCATAAATAGTCAATGTCCTTAAGCGCTGTATTAGTACACAATTAAGTTCATATCAAATGTATATGATATAATAATTTAGATGGCTACAGCTTACATGTTAATATATATCGTGTTTGTTTATAATACTGTTGTAGAATAATTTGACTAAAGTAGCCTCAGAAATATTGCTATTCATTTTATTTTTTAAAGAGTGATATCTTAGATTAGCTAAGCTTGAATCACAGAAACATGTAAATGGAATTTATTTAAAAAAAAAATAATAGGGAATATCTACAAGTAGATGGTGCGATTTGATATCGGTTGTATCCAACGAGTTTAAACGGTGTATATTCGTGAGTCTTATCGAGCGAATGTACATGAATTCAACAAGTTGGATATAGCCAATATCAATTCGCACAATTATAAATGTTCTATTTATCTCAAAAGATTTTTGATCTTTTACAAAACTTTGAGAATACCCCTATAAAACTATTTGAATGAAATTAATGACGCTTAAATTGATGATGTCGCAATTTTGATAATGTCTTGGCGAAAGAAATAAGATCATGTCAAAAAGTTAAAAATCTTTGCTGTCTGCGTCTTTAAAAAACATGTACATGTATTACAATCTGTTGGAGATTTATTTCAGAGAAATATGTTGGTATGAGGGATGATGGATGTTACTCTGGTGTCATTCTTTGTTCGGTGGAAATGCAAACGGTGGTAGGATACCTGAACAATATAAATTCATGATAAGTTACACATACTATTTTATAGGAATACATATTACGAATATGACAAAGCATTTTTGAAAGTGAATATGGAGCTAACGGGCACAAATCAAGCTTAAAATCCTATTTGTTACAGTTTTCAGGTTAGCTTGGACTTTTAGTAAGGCGTGGCATTCTCGGTGCAACATATTAAGCGTCTGTCAAATGGCGAATAGATTCTCAATGGTTAAGGAATTAATAACATCAGGAACTTTAAATTGTTGTTGACAACGATGAAACGACTTAAACCCTGCCTCTGTGCCGTGCGAGAACTTTTAATTGGCTATTTGCTACACCAGATAACATTTGGTCGAATTTCTATCCTATAAATATTTCAGTAGTGATGGAAAGCTGTGAAAATTTCAGAAGCTAATTAGGAAACGTCGAGAATGCCACGCTTTACTGAAAGTCCAAGCTTAACTGAAAATTGTCCTAAAAGTTACAATCTGTTCACAGACAACTTGGATTTTTAAGAACATCAGAGATGAGATCAGGTGATATAGAGGAGTAAGCATCCCTTGTCGAATAGATACACACGCCGTTTCTTGTTAATATTGGTAAAACGGAAAAATCCGTCGTACTTCAATTTTTAGATAATGGCCAAACAACTGTAAAGAAAAATGTCAGTCAGCATACAATCGAATTAGTGATAGAGTCTGCAGACAATGTTATTGTTTCTACTACAAAAATGGCAAACTGATTACTGTTCCGTTATTTTGAATGTTCATTTTGACATGCTCTCATAATTTTAAAGCAATCTTAAAAAAATAATGAAGGTCAGCTTATATTTTTATACTAAATACTTTAATAAGGTTTAAAGAACATGTTTGATCAATTAAAAAAGGAATTGCCATCAGATGCAATTTTTCTGTAAATCGAACCAAGGTATACCAGTTTTAATTTTATATTGTTTTGAAGCAGAATTTATTAAAATGTTAGAACATGAAAAGGAAAAGGATCATTTGTTGTTTTTCAATTCAACATGCCTTCTATCAATTAACACTATTTTTTTTTAAATGTTTTCATTTACGGAATTAACTGTTACATCATACTTTGTCTGACACTTTTTTTCCATACGAATTGTATATAAATTTCCTCTTTACTCGGTCTTGGTAATGAGGTCAGATGGGTTTAAACACACAACATTAACAAATTAAAATGTTTGATTCCCACCTATAGAACAGCGTTTGCGAAACAAAGTTCGAAAAAATAAGATAACAAGCAGCAAACAGCAATCCTTTTTTCTACCCCTAGAGATAATCAAGCTGATTTCATTGTATGAAACATGGATCCCTAAAAACATCAAAAGATTGATCTGGTTCAATGGTGATCGAAGTTCATTTCCTGTCCATTTATCAATGGACAGTTCTTTTAGAATAAAATTCAAAAATGGTCAGAGGATAAACCTTCTCATAGTTTTCTATAAATTCAAACGCTTATCAGAAAAAAATATACTGTCTCTTTTATTTATATTGTTGTGATTGTTCTGTAAGACATCACCGCATGGCGGTGTGGTAAGAGCGTTTTCTGTCTGAGTAAAGTGTTTTTTGTTTTGCAGATTAGATAATATATTTTTGAGTATAACAGTAACTTGATCCTCAGAATTGTATCGAATTTCTGTAAAAATGATAAATTTAATATTATAGCCCTCTAGCTACAATAATCAAATATATGAAAATCAATACGTTTGTGACAAACACTACTAGTATACCTTTAATTCATTAAAAATTTCTTTCAAGGAACATTTTGATTCGTGAGTAAAAAAGAAATCACCTATATGTACTATGCCATCAGTTTCAGAGAGTGGATATATAGATGCAGAGGTACTGTAAGCAATGAGCTCACTAAATGATACCCCCACCTCCAATACTGTGATAATGGCAAAGTCCATCTTTTGTTCTCGTAGACCCAAAACAAGTGCCAGATCAAAAAGGAAAATAGGATTCGCACAAAAGAGTTAAGCAATAAAAAATCTGTGAAAATACATGTATCATTAAATTTTATTCTGTGGTATAGTAGGAGTTAGTGGATAAGAGATGGACACACTTCAATATTCTTTTAAGAATGGCAGTGTCCATGTCGTGCTATGGGAAACCCAAAATATGTATTGGATCAAAAAGTACAATAGGAGGTGCACATGGCACTATGTAACAAAGATTCTGCGAATCATTCAGTGGTATAAGAGGAGATACTGATAAGAGATGGGTACACCAAAGCGTAATTGACGGACGAACAGACGGACACATGGACCAAAAGACGGACGGAGATCCCTATCACTATTTACCCTACTACTTTTTAAGCAGGGGGTACAATAATGAACGGTGATGAGTCTCTAGCAAATCCTACAAAAGATGCAACTCTATAAAAGGACATTAAACCAAGATCCTAAAAAGTCCAGACATTGAACTAGATTTATAGGAGGAATATGCATAGACTATTGACCAATCATACCCTGTGTTAGCCCTTTGTATTGAATGTCTTATTATTAAATTTAAGTCCTTACCATTTGTATGAATTTTATCATGAATTATAAAACCCAGTAAGATTCATATTCGCTTACAAGATGAATATGTCAACGACATAATGTACGAAATGCTGACTTAAAACGAGGTTTGCTGAAACCCTGTAACATCAACTTATCTGTAAGTAGTCTGCCTGTTCAAAAAATATTCTCGCTCGTACATGTACGTGTTTCTGTGTATCGAATAGGCTTTGAAACATCAACTCATTACACAAGTGTAAGCTGAAAATTGAAACATAAGTTAGGAGTGCTGGGGATGGGAAAACTGAGTTCATTTCATTTGTCACACGGCTCAGTTGAAACTTTGTATTTATTATCAATATTCATTTGAAGTCATCCAAATATGAAACAGACCTGGCAGATTTTGCAATAAGATTTATTTCAATTTCACTTAGGTATATCGAGTCGATGTAAGATTTGCAAGCAATTATTAGTCCCCTACCGGCAGTGAAATCGAAGGGGACTATAAGTTTTCTCTGCGTCTGTCCCTCCGCCGGTCGGTCCCCATGTC